ATATGTTATTCTGGGTTATAAACAATAATACTGTAAAGTTTCATCAAAATCTGTTCAGTAGTTTTTGCGTGAAAGAGTAGGTAACAAACTTCCAGACATCCAAACTTTCGCATTTATAATATTATAGATAGATTAGATAGATTAGTAGGACAAAAGGAAGGAAATTATGCATTTCATATCACTTTATTTGATTTTTAACATCACTTGATCAAATAAGTACCTCATACCAGTTACTTACTCATAGACTGTGGATCAAGTTAAGAATTGCTATTCGTTTAGTATTTATAAATGAAAAAAAATCACACAAATGAGGGCAGCGAGACAGAAAGGTCCAGAAGGTACTAGATTCATCAGTAATTTCTTTTCAGTAGTCATGACAAGGCCCAATGATTTGGTTAGAGATAGGCTACTATCAAATGCGAATTTTAGTACCTACTTACTTACGAGTTCCGTAATCTATGTTCGTGAATCATCTAAATTCCTCTTTAACAGTGATCTTGAGCTGAATAAACATTCGTAATTAGTAAACGAGCAATTCGGGCTAATTATTGTAGTGTCGGACAATAAACTGGGCCGGGCAGTGTAATAAAAACAAACGACACGTGCCTTATCGGCGCATTCTGATCGTGGCCCAAACTGTAATTAATGAATAGGAATGTAAACGTGTTCATTAATAACTTTAAGAAACAGACAAAAATGTAACTATTACACTAGGTACTAGCTTTTGCCTGCGATTTTACCCGCGTGAAATTTAGTTTGTTACATATCGTCATAAATTATAGCATATACCTAATATGATATCATCAAAATCCGTTCAGTAATTTTTGCGTGAAAAAGTAACAAACATGTTAACATCCATACATCTAAACATCCATACAAACTTTCGCATTAAAATTTATAATATAAGTAGGATTAATGTACTGAATCGATTGTTTTTCCTTTTATCTATCTTATTACTACCACGACCACAGATTACTAACGCCCGTATTCACAAACATTACTATGAGGTCTCACAGTGCGCGTGGACGCACACGAACCAATAACAAAGCTCTATTCAACGCTCTGTGCGTTCGATTTGCTGCTTCACTTAAGCAAGCATCGTTTGTGAAAACGGGTGTAATTTTAGTTACTACGTCTACGACAGTTTGCTACGAAGTGTAGAGTCGTAGCTAATCAGCAAGCATTAATTGTTTCGGAGCCTAGCGGTGGGTGGATAATAATTTGTATAATATAGGATTATTTTATCTTATCATTCCTCTATGGTCATAATACATAATTCTTGTATTACCGCGGACATTGTAAATAACGTCTTGTTGAAAAAAACTTGTCTCTCAGATAGTGACTGTCAGTTATGACTACGACGAGTATAATGACGTCACTGGTAGGTGAGCTTATAGCAAAAGAACCAAAGTAGAGTTACTAATGTATGATATCAATCCATTTTGTTAAGTGTAAGTATTTATTTACTTCTTTCGTTACTCAAAAAATTAAAACGTTCATTACGAGATGAAAACATCCAACCAAATCATCCAAAACGTACTGGAATGCGCAAAAGGGTGAACTCACCCCCACTTACTTTATTATTACAATGAGTCGACATTTATTATCAGTTATGAAAATAAATTCTTCCTCGTGAAATAAAGGGAAAAAATGAATTAAGCCGAGTCGACCGAAAAGGGACGAGTTTAACACTTAATTGCGTGATGTATTCAAAGTTAGGGACGTCCTCTACTACTCGTATATCATACTATGCTAAGCTATAAACTAGTACTTACATTGTACATACTTAAATTAGACACTTTATTGTACACCACACAAGACAAGAAAAGAAAAAAAGAAATAAATACAAAAGGGACGGCACAATTTAGGCGGTCTTTTCGTTATGAAACGATTTCTTCTAGACAACCTAGAGGACTTTTCAGAAACTTTGTAATTTGACAATGTGTTACTTGTAGCTAGTGTAATAAGATGCTGTAAATGCTTTATCGCTAAGAGTCAGTTTTTTGATCCATAACTTAAGTAACTCTACTAATTTTGCAAATATGTCGGAGTATGTATTGATGTGCTGTCGCCTGTAGGTACCATATCTTCTTCCAACCCAAAGACTTCAAGGTACGAGTGAATTAAACTTCTTATGGGCTCGCTTCACCATAGACGCATCTGTACCTCTAGTAGGGCGGCTATAATATAGGGGGCGCTGTTTAATTTTTCATACAAAATTTTTCGATGACACTTTGAATACGCAACGAAACGAACTCGAAAGTTTTTCCTACTAGAGGTACTGCACTCAAAAGCTTTCGTTATAAAAAGTTTTTTACCTTGTAGACAGTCGGACTAAAGTCCAACGTTTTGTTGCAGTTTTATGATAATAATTTGTGTCAACGCCCTCGTTTGTAGGGCCATTTGAGCTTAACGATTTGTTTTATTGTACGAACAATTTGATGTTAATGTACTTCTCTGGCTATAGAGGTCTTAATCTACTGCCCTATTAGATATAGGGAAGCGTCACTATTACGTCATACTGACGACGTCATATTATGCTAAACACTGGCGTCTTATGACGTTGAAATAGGTGTAATTTTGCAACAAAAAATATTTTTTAGTGTGCTGGTGACTGTACATTAATTCGTTTTAAATGATGTCATCTTCTTTTACGCTTCTGTTATGAACTTTTAGGTTCTATTTCGTTCCTGCAAAGCAATATCATAGTAACATCATTGACGTCACTTCATGATTCTGTTTTTCAAAAAAGTACCGATACACATGCTCATCATTACTAGCACGAAAGCATGCAACTATTGAGCGCATGTGTATCAAAACATTGCTAATAATAAGCATGCTCATTTCGAGTTTTCGAGCACAGTTTTAAGCATGCTATAATTGCAAATTGACTCGTATTACGGTGGATGTTATTTTATTATCTCTAACTGTTGCTTGCACCCGATGTTAACAAATTCAGTCTAGAGCCATACCTGCCCTATACCATAAATCTAGCAACCTTTTCCCAAAAATTACGAAAATTAATTAAAACAGTGTTATAAAAGTGTTTTAAAACTAGTCCAAATATGATTCCGTGACTGCCAGGCCGTGGTCGGGCTTAACACCTTGTAAATAACGTCATAAAGCAACAGTGTTGCCACACTTCGGACAGCCGGTGTTTACACTATTGCACTTTTGTTTCGTTAGGAAACGAACATTTTATTGGTGTAGGTACAATTTGTTTTATTTGGAGTTAGCCTCTTGTTGCAATGTGTGAAATTAATGAATTACAGTTTTCAGACATGGGAACAGTGGATCTTTAAAAATATGGTAATTTAGTTTATCTATTTTAGCAATTTTTCGATAGCTTTATTGGAGAACAACTCCCAATTGATTTTTGTTAATACAACTAAATGTAGAGTTTTTATAACTTGTTTGCCGTTATTCGTACGAAAATGTTTGTTTTCTTTTTATTTTCCAGGACACTAAACAGTTAAGGATAATGCCATGTTCTAAATGGTAAGTTTAATACGGCGTTTTAAAGGCCAGGCCGATTTACAGCCTGCCTTCGGATAGAGATTGAGTCGGGCCCTAACAGTTTTTTTGTGTAGGTGTAAATCTTGAGGCGCCTTTACGAGGGTGTTCTGTTTGGTATAAAACACAAGATAAAGCGGTAAAAACTGACATTTTGGTAAGTTATCCCTTTGAAACTTCATGTTTGAGGTGAAATAAAAAGAAACAATGCAATTTTTATGTCATCGTCATGATCTAAAGAGTTGAGTCTCCAGTGCAAAGAGCACGATCTGTCCTAATTTGTCAGCTAACCAGCTGCTAGCAGCTTTGTCTGCTGGCCTACGCTCCTCACACTGGATAGACTGGGGAAGCCTGACATTGGCATTTTTGTCCCTTAGTCGCCTTTTACAACATCCACAATCCACATCATATTAAACTCTGCTGACACCCGTGTGCACGAGTAATAATTACACACGATGGATATGTTTTATAACTTCTAATATTCTTTGCGTGCACTTGACATGTGGCGTAAAGTGCACCGTAGTAAACGGATGTCTCTTATCACATTAAAAGGAAAAACTAACTTTTTCTATGTTTGTTTATTTTGTTTATTAGGCTATCTTCCTACACCTTGCGCCACGTCCCTCCCCGCCAAAGCCAGACCTTTGCCATAACAGCCATGAACAGTAAAACAACACTTTTAAGGGGTCGTGAAATTTTTAATGTCCACACGGTCAAGATTTAAGGGTCAGTTCGGCGACGTTCTTTCATGTTTGTTTATTAATTTTTAAATAAATAAATTTTAATAAATTACATTCTAGTTAAATAAGCGAATAGTCATAAAGTGGGTCCAGGACTACTTAGAACCTTAAATACGGACGATGACCTTTATTATTTCAGCTACAGGATGTCCACTGCTGAAACTATGTTCAGCTGAGGCCTATGCCTCCTCCAATGATTTTGTTAGTGACCGATCGGTCAAATCACCTTATTGATTTTCCAAAAAATAGTTTAAATCACAAAGAGTGCACGAACTTTGGACTTTACCTGCCTAGCGCTCACATATCTATAAATAATATTTTCCTGTAATAAGTAAGCGATCTTTCTTTCTAGTTTCTGCCACTTAGAATTAGCTATTTAAAGCAGGAGACAAAAGTGACCCATCCAACTTTAGNTTTTGATTTTTTGATTTTGACTGTTTCTTGGCACCAGCCGATATGTTTCTTCTTCTAACATCCGAAATTTTACTGAGTGTGTGAAATCTTAAGTCGAAAATCAGTTTTGTACGCTGTCAGTTTTTTTAAGATGTACCTTACTAGGTGCGTGAGATTGACTGATGAATGTCTAGTTTCAAAAATAATTTGATGATTGATTTATATTGCTGTGGCCATTATTTCGCAATCTGTACATTGCCATTAAAATAAATACGATTTATGTCGGTTCTTTGATACGGGTCCGATAAGAGGCTGACGTATTTGCAAATCACATTTCGAAACAAATAACAAATAATGTTCGTACACATTTTGCTAGTGATTTATGTGTTTAGCCGTGAAATAGAATTAGGTACTAAACCGTGTGCTGTTAATTAAAAACAATGGGTCATAGTTTTCTTTGTAGCTTATTAAAATTTTGTAACTCTATACTGTAACCGACGGAAATTATTTTATTATTCTGGTTAATCATTTATTTTGATATACAAATATTTTTTATTTTTTATATTTAGTCAGTCATAAAGGGATATGTTATTGACAGGCATTTTTAATATTTTCAGTGAAATCAGCAGATAAATTGGAGTTTTGGTAAGTTACATTTTGATACCTGTGTGAAAAATTACTCAAAAAATATTTTAGAATATTATAGCCAATAAATCAACAAATTAATTATTTGTTATACATTATTTTATAAAATTAAGTGATATATTTTTTTATTATAATTAATTTAAACCAGGCTCAACGTAAAGTTCAGCTTAGGATCTTTTTGCTTTTTGATTAAAAAATTATATAAACTTTCTTATTTTCAGGGAACGAGATCCTCAGTTCGATGCAAGACGAGCAATCGAAGACCCAAAGTACAAGAATCATCCGAATCACGACAGCAGCAAGCCGCCGACTCGATTTACCAAAGTGAAATCGAAAGATAAAGCTCCAATAAAAAGGTAATAATAAATGCTCTTTCGAAATAACTGAACATTTTAATGGACTGATCCTTGCGCATTACTTTCTTCGAGAAAGTTGAGGTTGTCCCAGAAAACCCCAGAAATAATGTACAGATACCATGCAGTAATACGAGTTCCAATCATAATTTTTATTTCAAAATAAAGGTGTTTCTTTACCTTATCTAACTTAAAATACTTCTTATCTTACATAACTTTGACTTAAAATATACTATTTGTCTCTAACCAGATCTGGGCAGAATGGGGAGTGTATGTAAAGTCTTCCATTTTGCCATTGCCGGTGGTTGATTTAAGAGGGTCATGTATATGCAGTAGATACTAAATTAAGTCATCACTATGGTGTCTATGGGCGACGGTAATCACTTACCATCATTAAAAAAAAACAAAGATGACAAATCACTGTCATCATTACCATCAGGTAATGATTATACTTAGTTTAGCGTCGCCACTGAGCGACTATCTAAGTTTATTTTAATACTAACTGACCTGGCGAACTTTGTAGCGCCTATGTTCATTAGAAAATAATCTAATAATAAAAATAATCAGTCCAGTAGTTTGGGAGCTTTTTTAATACAAACAAACAATAAAATCTCTCTTCATAATATTAATGTGACCACGAGCCGGAAGACGTAATGTGGGCAGGTCTCCCACTAGGTAGACCGACGATCTGGTGAAGGTCGCGGGAGGTGCTTGGATGCGGGCGGCGCAGGACCGGTCTTTGTGGAAAACCTTGGGGAAGGCCTTTGTCCAGCAGTGGATGTCTTTCGGGTGAAACGAACGAACGAATTAATATTAGTGTATTGATGATTAAACTATGTTATAAGGACGACAACGGACTACATTACTTCTGAAAAAGAGAAGAAGCCAGCTCCCACAGTCGCGAGGAGTCGCAATCGAGGCCGTAGCGAAGAGACCACAAAATGGCCGAAACTACAGCAGCATCGGTACAAACAGAAACAGAGAAAGGATGAACTTCGGTATATCTATAAACTATTCATAATAGGGATGTTTCCTGGGTAAAAAAGCAACAGTTTTAATTAGTCCCTCAGTTAGCTTATCAAAAACTACTCGACACCTGTTTTTCACTTTTTGAAACTAATGAAAATGTAAAGAGATAAAGCGTGCCAAAGTTCTAAAGAAAAGGCCCGTGACGTCAGTGAGTGCGTAAAAGTGCAGCACTTTGTGACGTCGCGTGGAACTTCAACGCACTATAACTTTATGATTATTTGTTTCATTGACAGTTAAAAATATACGTGTTCAATATTTTTTTATATTAAAATTGGCTGACTAAGAAATTTTTTTAGGAAACAAGCCTAAGCAGTAGGTACAGTCAGCCTCAAATAGTTGGTGGCCAAAAAGTTGATAACACAACAACGTGCGAACTTTTTGGCTACTTTGGGCATTACTAACTATTGGACGCTGACAGTACAATACAGATACGCCAAAATCTTTATTTTATTACACAAGTGATTTACGTCCATGTTTTAGTTCTTTTTAGGAACAGAGTAACTAAATGTTTCATTATTTTAGCTCAACAAGAATCTCGGAGTTGCATTTGCTGCAACAACCAGAAGAGTAAGTTAATGTAATTTAATAAACAAAGATAATAATATGAGGTTTTTTGTGCTGCAGTAAGAGAGTCTTGTATTATTCACAGAGATAGTACCTCCAAATATCAGAAGCTGGAAGAAAACGATAAAGACACTGTCTTAAGTCCCTATAGTGTAAGTCTAAAGTTAAAATACAAATAATTTTACTGCTTGTTAGCGCGGATAAAAACATAATAAATTTGGGGTACATTAAATTCCAGATAAAGCAACAGTTGACTGACTTCGCCAGTAACTTTCAGGAAGCAAATATAACAGTCGAAGTAATCGGTCGCACTGTAGAATACAACGACATCGTCATGCTGAAAGTGACAGAACGGAAAAGTGAACTCGGAAAATATTTCCGAGCCGACGAGAGCAAATACGTGGACGAAGTTCCAGAGAAGAAAATCATATTTATTGTGCACGGCCTAAGTGTTATGGGAATCTCGAATATTCCATGTTTATACTCGATTGCCGATTTGAAAGTTTTGCTCTCCTTTTATTTTGCCCATTTGGACAAGTTTGACATATTTTTGATTCCTATGGCCAATCCTGACGGCTTCGTCTTGAGGGAAAAGGGGGGAAGGGTGCGTGACGATTCAAGTAATATAAATATGTTATAAATTCATTTTATTATCATTCATATTGCATTACATAAATATCTCTAATATTATAAAGAGAAAAGCTCCTAAACTAATGGATCGATTCGAAAATATATTTCACCATTAGAATCCAAAATTATGCCGCACTAGTGTTTTTTTTTAATTGTCAAAAAACTTTCTAAATTAATAAATAACCAGAACCTAAAACGTTTAAAATTCCCAATTCAGAAAAACCTGTGGAACAAAAACATGTCACCACAAGGAGCTTGTCCCGGAGTGGCCCTGGACCGCAACTTCGACGTGTCCTGGAACTCCACTGCATCCGTCAGTTCCTGCAGCCAGCATTTCCCAGGAGTCTCCCCCTTCTCCGAGGCAGAAACAAGGGCAATCCGGGACGTGCTACACCACTACAGCCATAAGATCAATGGCTATATGCATGTGCATTCTGGATCTTATGACTATCAAAGTTTTAAGGTACATATTTGATGGAATCAAATATTCATAAGTACGTAAGAACAGATATTGGAGACTCCAGGATAAGCTTTCTTATTAGATAAGGATTCTCTTCATTTTGCGGCCCTCACCAGAGGCAAATTGAGGATTTGGCTTACTCCATATGCTGGTCAGACAGGTTGAGGAGAATAAACAGTGTTTAAGATTCTTCTTCTTGACTTAATTTTTTTTGGTACAGGGTGACGCAATTCTCTACCCAAAAGGCTACACTGACGTTCAATCAGACGACGACAAATACATAGACTTAAGGGGGGAGATCGACGAAGCGATGAAGAACGCCAGTTTCCAGGTCATATCTGTCACAGTGGACACCCTCCACAATTGGTATGGGAAGATCTCCGGTTCTAGCGTGGACTACGCATCTACAGTGAGTTATTTAAACAAAGAACATAGGCTGAATTGCACCACCCAACTTTGACCGTAACTTTAACGATAACCGTTGTATTTTGAATGGAGTTTGACAGATTTTTGACGTTATCAAAGTTAAAGTAAGATGGTGCAACCCAGCCATAGATAATGTCAGTTTAACAATGACTACATAAGATCAGTGTGCCTACCATGAGTTTACGTTAGGTGAGCTCGCTAGCGACTGCGTAAAAAAATGACATTTAAATGTATGACATATTGTGCAGCGCCCCTAGCGGCTACTTTCAAGAAACAAAATCTTCATAGAGATTTTTGACGTACTCGCTAGCGAGCACACCTGACGTAAACTCATGGTAGGTACACAGTAAAGCACGTTGTGTATATACTAAGTACACATGTATTTGATAATGGGAGTGATGTCGTTTTTGGCAGGCATCGCTAGTTCGAACCCTGTCGAACTCCCAAAAGCCCACTCCTGACTTAAGCTAAAATAGATATTTAGCTCAGCTATAGGACTTAGCAAGAATATCGCTTGCATAAGTTACAAGAATATTATTACTTTAAAAAGGTGTCTACGAATATGGCTCCACGTCTTTTTAATTTTCTTCGGAGCCAGGGCCTTAGATACTTACACTCAGCGTGTTGGGAAGTTTTTGGGTACTTTGTGTGTTACCACAGAATATTAATAAGTAGTGTTAGGAACTATTTGACGCTGATTGTACACATTGTTAAAATTATGCATTGATATTATTTTCAGATATACGGAATTCCATACGCCATGGAGCTGGTAATGCAGCCTTTTCAGGATATGGGCTCGAAGGAAAACTACAGCTGGAATGCACTAAACGAAATCTGGAGGAGGGTCATTGACGTCATCTTCAACAACATCTGGCGGAATACCAAGAACAGCGATACTTAACTTTAACTTAACTTTGCTAATGTTTCCTTAAGTCGGTTTGATTAAAAGTATTCCAAAGAAAAGAAAATAAGACTTTTACTTTGATATGTATTAGTTCGGCTTTGATAAACATTTGTGAAAAATGTATTTATGATACAAATGTGTATCAATACAAGAGTACATGCATAGCATCTGTGGATCAAGAAGTTGTCGTCGTAGTAGAACATGATCACGTAAGTGAAAGATGAAACTTTCAAAATAATCCAATGAGAAAATATGCTATGATAAAAATCCAAATTCTATACAAATTGACATACTAAGGGTAATTTTCTTCGATGAAGATGAGTAATTGATTGTGAAACCAATCAAACGCTATTGGTGCTCCGCAGGAGGCAGCAATATAACTTCAAGTGCTTCTTAATTTAACGGTTGCTCGATGATGCCATCAAGCCTCGAATTGGAGGGAATTGAAAGACATGTAATTATAGACATTGTTTATTTATGTTCATTCTGTAACAATGTAGGTAAATTACGACAGTTCTGATGAAAATATACCTAAGAGTATCTCTAGAGTAAAACATTGATTTTATTTTTTACTAGGTGAAAATCAAGTTCAGAAAGATAAAAGATTTTTAGAATCAAAGTATTAAATCAACTGTAAAAGCAAATAATTTATGTACAAAGTTATTATGAATGCAAAATATAAATATTTGTGAACATTTTTTCTTTTTGAAACTTATGCGAATGAACGTATTTACGAGCATATTATTAGATTCGTTAAATTTTTCTTTACTGCATAACATGTTTATGTCAATTGAAATATTTTAAGTTTAAGTAATAATTGTTTTTGTTTAACAAATAGACACAAATACGCAATACATTCCGATGAAAGATCAAAATAACAAACAAATATTATGGTCACTTTCACCAGGTTTATGACATATGCGTCACAAGCTACCGTATGATATTCCTTGACGCTACATGCGTTTATTTTCCTTAGTTCGCAGTCGATTACTCATTGATCAAAGTCCACAGAGCAGTAGCCTATTCATAAGCGGCAATGTATGCAAATAAATTCGATATTACAGCTGCGCAAGAGTGGCTCCTAAGTGTGTCAGCCCCGTGCCTCCAGTAACGACCGCGCATACAAAGGAAGTTATTAGGAGCGAAGAAAGTGATCGTTTTTGTGGTTTGTTTTAAATTTCCAGACGCATTTTGGGTTATCCTGATTTCTCTGAAGTATTCGGAACAGACCCTTTCATATTTGCTGCACATTCAATAATTATTTACTTTCATAAATGATCTCTTAATCTTTACCTATTGATACAGAGAATAATAATAACGCCCGTGCTCACAAACGATCGTTGCTTATTAAGTGAAGCAGCAAATCGAACGCACAGCGTTGAATAGAGCTAAGTGATTGGTTCGTGTGATACCATTTGCGACCACGCGCACTGTGATACCTCATAGTAATGTTTGTGAATAAGGCGTAAGTCAGGGTGAACAAAAGTTTAAGTTTCCGTAAGTTTAGTGTGAAAGTGACTCCAGCATCGAATATTGTTCGTATGACGAAATAAAATTATGGATGTTCTGACCCCAAAATGTCCCGTAAAGGAATCTAGATTAGCCAGCAGCTTAGCCGTTCGTTACCATAATGACAATGGCAAACAGTCCGTTATGGCGCGTGGGTGGCGCCAGCGCATCTGTGGCTTATGAGAGAACCACTCGATAAGTTTCCACTGCTTCATATTTATTGGTTTTAAATATAATTGGAAAATGAAGCCATCCAAGTCAAAAAGTAATTGGTCACAACATCTAAGAAGAATATTAAGTCTCCTACGTGATTTATTTCAAAGAGCGTTCAGAGATTTAAATCTACCAATCAAGAAACACGAGTGGGCATTTGTGGAAATTTTTACATTGGTAAAAAATATTTCATGTTGCTCTTTGAGCTAGGGCTTCTTCAATCGTGGGTCTTAAGTATGTAAAGCCGATCAGACTTCTATGAATCACTGTGGCCCACTGTGGGCGTCTAAGATGGCTCAATTGGAACGTGATTTCGAGAAATAAGAAATTAGATACCTCCTCAACGATTTTAAGCAATTATATTGAAAGGAAGCTTTAATTTCGCGTGTAATTAGAGAAGACATGATCAATTTGATGTGCTCGTGTCAGAGCCTTTACTAAACAATGTAACACTATCTACGTAGGTAGGTACATAGATTTCGGTTTGAAAGTGTCGCTTAAATCTATAGCTAATAGGCATAGTAAGTGCTTACGATAATTGAGGACATAGCGAAGCCATCTTGATCTCAAATTAAATGTCTTATTTACAGGCGCAAAGCACCATATTATTATGGAACCGTACTGTCTTAATAGCTAAGTTATAGTTAAGTTTGATTACTTTAGTTAGGCTGAGACACCATTCCAGAAGAGTGATAATTACAGACCTAACAATATCTATTGATTCCCAAATTGATCCCCTTCTCCATCAATGTCACCAAGTTCGTTAACCTGAACCGTTTTTGATTGTGTTCTCAGATCACCTTTGATACCTGTACGGTACTTACGAGTATATCAATGGGATGGACTACATATGGATACGCTGCATTTGTCAGCCACTTTCGATTGTGTGTATTGTGAGAGACATGTATTATTTTTTATCAATTGTCATGCTCAAAGCTATGGTATAAAAGGCCATTGCAGTGACTCTCATGACCATTCTTTGTTGGATAAATACAAACTTTAAAAAGTGCAATTCGTTTTAAATTTACATCGTATATTGCATGCCATATCCTAGACACAAACAAAAGACACCATACCATGTCAGGTTAATGTGTGGTGTTTAATTATGTACTATTTTAAGCAACAAAATGCCTCTATTTACTATTACTACTCTCTCTACTTTTTTTCTCTTCTGTGGTGTACGATAAAGTTTTGATATTAAAAAAGAAGCACGTTCGTATTGCCCGAAGTTCGTAATGAATCGATTGTATGAAAGAGGTCTTTTATAAATCTAGGGACTACATAGCCAACAATACTTTCCACCATAGTAATTTAAAGTATCAGAAGTAATCACTAAAACTTTGTCTTTCTTATAAGTAAGGAGAGAAAGAGGATATCCAATCTTCTGTAATTACTGGTGTTCCATAATGATTAAGCGATCAGTAGTACTCGTAATATCCGATCATTGCATTAACGGGACGCATTATACCTACGCTCCGCCGACCAACGAAGTCGACTGTTATGAATTTCAAAACGAATAAAAAAAGCTATCAGAATTTAATTTTGCTAGGTCTTACGCAGAAACAAGTCTGACGCCCGTATTCACAAACGCTATATGAGGTCTCACAGTGCGCGTGGACGCACAGGGGTGACACACGAACTAATCACAGAGCTCTAATATTCAACGCTGTGCGTTCGACTTGCTGCTTCACTTAAGCAAGCATCGTTTGTGAATACGGGCGTGAATAAGATTGTATCTGCCCTAAATGAGAGAAAGCTCGAGACGCATACAAATGGTGGTGGAAATAGGGCTTTTGAATTGCCTAAAGCAGTGCTGGATAAGATACAATCACTTTAAAACTAGAGTTTCTATTCTAGAATATGCAACTTAGAAATTCAACACAGAAATGAATTGTTTCCAATGTTGGACAATTGGATGTGTCACAAAATCTTCTTCTAAATTAATTTAGGTGTGTGCCTATACCAACAGATGTTTGCTTTGAAATATCACTCACTTTTGAGAATAAAGTTGGAAAAAAACTGTTCTAATTTTTGTCGTAAATCTTTTATATGATAGATAATTATATGCATCTTACTGCCAATTAAAAATTTTAAATATTTAGTCCATGACGTAGGTAGTTTATTAAAACTATCTGGTTGTCAGATGCGTTAATCCTTTTTGGTCCGCCCTTATGTACTGCTTTACCTATAACTTATGCTCAACAGCGATAATTTTTTATCATTGGAAGTAATTAAAAATATTCTAAGGCTGGGATGCACCATCTTACTTTAACTTTGGCAAAAGTCAAAAAACTATCAAACTCCATACAAAAACACCGGTTATCATTAAAGTTACGGTCAAAGTTAGGTGGTGTAGCAACTCGGCCTAAAATTCTTGCGTTGTTTCATCTCAGCCCACATTTTCTCCCGAAGCAGTGGTGCATCAGTTAGTGTTAAAAATATTTAGGGACATGTGCTCTTAATTTAAAATATGGTCCTTATACCATTAACATAAGATCTTAATTTCTCACCGCCTAAGGGTGTATTCGACCAAACAAGAGTAAATATTAATCTCAGAATAAACTTGTCATTTGGACAATATATTTCCCATACTGAAACTGTCAATGTGCCAGTTATACCAGGAGTTATTCTCGGATAAAAGTCTGGTCGAATCGGGCCTAAGACGAGTTCGAGATGTGCAGTCCTTTTAGGCACAATATCACGGATTTAGGTCCACCGTTACTCTCCCGCGGCTGGTGGTCGCTCAGTGCGCGAACGACTACCGAGCGCGCACCACTGCGCGCGCGCATCTCGTGAACGTGTTAAGTTTCGTGATTTAAAAATGGTGTCACTGCAGTTACTCGTTTTTGGTAAGGATCACTGTTGATTATTTTTATACTTAGGTGTTAGGATTTTTTAGGCTTCTTTTCTTTTTTTTTGAGTTATAATTTATTCGTCAAAAATCTTCTGGATCTGGAAATCTTAAGTTTTATTTAATGGGTCAGAAGTTTAAAAAATAATTGACACCATTATTTTTTAATTAGTTTTAATACTTTATTATTTTATTCATGCAACATGCTTTTATTAAGCTTTTCAATAATTCTCTAGTCATTATTTTATTAATTGATTAAAAATCAATACTTATCGAGCCATTAACGATTTGCTATAAGTTTTTCTTGGTTGTCATGTTAATATTAAATAGCTTAGCAAAACACGGTTTTAATCGGTTGAGAATTTTTCATTTAATGAAATGCCTGAAAAAACTTCAGAAAGGACTAACAAAAATCTTAGAATGTTGATAAGAAATTGTGATTGATTACAAATGACACGTGTAGTCAATATACTGTGAATGAATGAATAATGTTACTACTACCACAGTTACGTTGTAGACGTATTTTACTGTTAAAATGTTATTTTAAGTGTTACCAACCAGAAAATTATTCATCAGTGATGTGACTGGTGAGTTTACTGCATGATATAACTTTCAAATATTTCTAAAAATAATAAATTCTTTGTACTTATTAATAATTTAATTTTCTATGAAAATTATTATTACGAAAATAATTAAAACAAATGTTAATAAGAAAAAAGTACAATAGAAATAACTTTAGAACTATTCTAACATTATTAGAACAGTGATAAAAATACAGGGATACCAGTGGAAGATTCTTCCAAAAACATAAATGGAATTTAGGTTAATAACACTTTTTAGTAGTTTGTCTGAATATTGGTACATCTAAAAAAATATTCTCTTATTTGTTGAAAACCATAATAGCAGAATTAAAAACTAGTACACACATCAATCAATCTACACGGAAACGGAACCGAACGATAGCAGAATGTTATGTATCAGAAAATATTTTTGTTTAAAAATAGCATTTATTACAATTACATAGAGCACGTCGTTTTACAACTTGATGTGCCGTCGTCCATTCGTGAAGAGTCAATAAAAAATGATTTCAACTTTTGACTTAAATTTTCAGGGAACATTATTGCTATCCGCTTTCGGGACAGTGATCCGAGTTCATATGATGTGAGAGCTTAAAAAAGCATTCGAAATCATTATTCTTAGTAATTAGCTCTTAATTAGTCCCAAACTAATTTTTTAACATAAACCACTGCTTCGGGACATTTATGTGGGCCAGTGCTGAGAAAAAGTAGTGTCAGAAATTCTCATCACTGTTGTCAGCTTTCTTTTCAANCTTTTCAATTTTTTACATGATTTACTTAAGTTACTAATGATGAGAGGTAGATAGTGTTAAATCCACTTTTTTCCTTACACCCTGTTTGTTTGTCATGAGAAAATGGAGGAAATAATTGGTTTTATCTTCCGTAGTTAATAAATATTGTGTAACTCTTATGATTTTCAGCGATAATTTCCTTGTAACAATTAGTGAGTGGGAAAAGCGTTTTCTATTGTACGCATTTCTTCTTAGGCTTGAGTTAGTGACAGAATTTTAATTAAATTTCTTGTGTTTATATCGATATTCAATACAATCACGATAGCATCAATACTTATTGTGATTGTAAAGTTAATAAAGGCTTACCAGTAAGTATTATGATTTATGTATTATTTTACCAACTCAAATATAAATAGGTGGTAGTTTAGGAACAAAGTAGAGATTGTGAGAGACAACTATTTACATAGATAAAGAGCAATAAATATACAGGAGTAAGGGTATTTTTTAATGCAGAAAAAATCAGGCATTTGATCGCAATCGCACCTGATGTTAAGTGAGTTGCGATTATACCTAAAGGTAATTATTATTATACCGAAAGGTAAGGTATTCTGGTTAATGTACATATTTGTTACACTATCTAATTACAAATACATATCTAATATATTAATTTTAAGAGTGACAACTTAGATTTCAGCCCATGCTCGAAGGATTTTGCTTGCTGCTGGTATATAGTCAAGAAGCCATAAAGGCAAGGCAATACGCAATCTCATTAATCAAAAAATTCTGAAAATACGTTTCAGTAGGCTTATATCATCAATTGGCCAAATCAGCAGTTAATTTATTACCTAATTCTGAGTATAGAATCCAATTTGAGTAATTGCCAAATTTCTCGGCTTAGACGCAGTACAAATGCAGACAATCAAGGCGTTTTGAACGGACCATCATCAAATGAAGCACTCAAAGAATATCCGATCAAAGAGCGTAATATGCAGCAATTTAGGCAGAAAACATTCTGATTTATTAAATTAAAATTATCAAAGGCGCCCAATGACATCGATTGCTCGATATTGGTCCGGTGAAGCCTTCCAAAGCTCAATTAGGTGAAGCCAGATACATCATGTTACAAATTAAAGAAATGTACAGCAAATAAATAATAAATGGTTAGTTCGGACGCAGACGGACGACTTGACATTTTGAACTATTATTTGATTGCAATTAAATAATCGCAAGCTAAAAGCAAATGCTTTTAGTTACGAATCGTGTGTCAAATTTTACAGTTTAATTAATATACAATACAAATCAGAAACAATCAATTATTTCGAATGAATTAAATGAATAAAATTAGCTTTATTTCAAAGTAGTCGACACAACTTTATACTCGTACCTATTTTGCTATAGTTTTTGTAAAGGAATACGACTCTATCATATTAAATTCCTTGTTCGCTAATTATTTCAAGGGGATTTTAAACATTATATTATTACACTTAATTCAAAACTAATTGGGTGTTCAAGACTAAAATAACTAATTTAGAGAACTAGGACCTTGGAAGCAGGGGTCGATCTTGAGTAAAATTTTCGTTAAGTGGTGAAATTGTATTTGTTTTAATTGACTCTCTATTGAATCTCTTATCGTTTGGGGCTTAATAATTAGGTTTTACTTTGTTCAGTGTCCATGTACAAGTACTAAAGGTACTTAATACTCAATTTTCATTCATCTAGATTCTAGGTTTTGTCGCGGTAATGGTTTAGGACAAAGTAATTTTTAATTTGTCAGTATAGATTTTATTGGCTTTAACTTTTTGGTTAGACACCTCGCAGAGTACAAACTATTAGTCGGCACAAGAAAATAGAAGAGTATTAAATGAACGTGTATGTTGGTATTGGCCGATTCTTCATACAAATTAAAAGCCGACCCAACTATAGGCCGACTAAAAGTCTACGGTCTGCGGAATGTCTAAGTCTGAAATCTGTAACTCATCAGATGAATAATATATAATCATTTCAATCACTAATAACTGCCAGTCTAAGCTCATCAAAGGGAAGGAATATTTTCAATTGAGACCTTTTATGTTAAGAATAATTTGCGTAAGATACCATAAAATGTAGCTTCTTACATTTTATTGAAATAAAAATGAGATAGCAATGGAAAATTCTAGAAAAATCCAATTAATTTCAATCATTTTTCCACTTTGTGAGCTTAGGGCGTTTTCAGCAATCATTTAATCTTATTGAAATAGTAATGTAACATCAAGTGTATGTATTAAACAGTGTGACATATTTCATCTATTATTATAGAAATTAAGGTCCTTTAAAAGACGAAACTTAGTTACACTAACTAAAGTCAAGTGAGTTTGGTCTAAATATTTAAATTCAACAATAAAGCATGACAGACATGTGGGATATATCTACTGCCTATATTACCTGATATATTATATGTAATAAACAGGTGTGGTTACATGACAATAAATCCGGTTAAAGTACGAAAACATATAAACAACGGTAAAAGCTAGTTGGTGATCAAGTAAAAGTGCGATGATTCAGTAGTAGCGGCATTTTCCACCTCTGACTCGACGAACAAAGCGAAAGTGTGTTATTATGGTATACCACTAATAGTTATGGTTTTTTCTTTTGTATAAATTACAATATTGTAGACAACTGTTAGATGTATGAGATTTTTAAATGGTTACCTCAAAAAAACGAATGTTCGTAGTTCGTAGAAGCTAGAGCTGTCACCCTGCAAGCGAAAGGTTGTGGGTTCGATTCCCATCGGAGGCAAGTCGATTTTATCAGGTTTTTAAACATTTAGGTATACACGAACCTTACATAACCTTCATACACGATGTGATTTTATAAACCCGAAATCTCTGAGACAAGAATTTCTATAACATCTGAAGGATCTACTTAAAAATAAATGAATAATCGTGTTAGTTAGAAATTACTAAAGTTCTTTTTTCTTGTTACAGGTATAACCACATTACTACTACAAGTTGGATGTGGGGAACACAACAAATATGACGAGTAAGTACCATCTAATTGAGTTGATAGAGATAGTTGATAGTTTTCTACGGAAAAATGTGATAATTACATTAATTAAGCGTATGTTTAACCTCAAACAATGAACAAAACACGGAAAAGAGAGTTTCTGAAATCATACTTATAGAATAAATGTAAAAGTGTTTGTGTACTCTTATAATTATATTTAATTATCAATACTATCATTTCAAATTAAAATTAATATATGTGTATTTCGGAGAAGTAAATTGTTTTATCCCCATGGGATTCAAACTAGCAGCCTCTAAAACGCGAACCATTAGCCTACGATTTCTATTACAATATTAATTTTGTAATAATTGTTACAGATACACCCTTATCAGTCTCTACCCTACCAACCCCCAGCAAGTAGAAGCGGCGAGGCACTTCTATGACCCTGAAAATAGAGTCGAAATTCTGAAGAGTTCTCGTGGAGTGAACGATAGCCTGGACGTACTGGTGCCTCCAGATAGAGTGGCCATCTTGCAGAAGTATGCACGGTCCAATGAACTGCAATTCCAGGTTAAGGAGACCGAGTATGGAAGGTAGGAGCAGCCATATAAATTATGTTAATGTTAAAATAGGTGTAGTTGTAATATACAGGATGTCATAAAATTAGCATGTCACACTGACATGGAAATAGATGGGCATCGGATAATCCTAACAATGTTTTTCGAAGAGTTTTGAGTTTAAATATTAGTTAAGTATAAGTATATTAAAATGGTCATATTAGACTTTAGGGCATTTAGCATCTTTAGGGCTACCAGAATCACCGAGGCTTTTGATAGGAACATACATAGGGGTGCTTCGGGCAGCCCCTGTGATACTCTACCTTTGGGCTTCGGTTTAACACATTTTTGGGACATCCTATACAGGGTGTNTAGTAAAACCTAGTTTTTGGTAGGTAAGTCTTAGGTCATTAGAAAAGGCAAACATTTGTTACCAATATTAAATAGCACCTTAAGTAATTATGAAGCGCCTCTTAAAGATTTTTGAGAACATTTTCTCTTCATAGTTTACTCGTAATTAACTAAGATTGCAGGTTTGAGATATTTCTCGTTGAATTTTATTTTATAAAAACTAAGGAATCTTTGCTATGAAGAGGTTTTTCTCTTTAATTAAGTTAGGAATTTTCTTTGTCTTCATTATAGGGTTATTCCTCATTATACCCTTATTATCAATTTTAATTTTACGAACGCGAATTGTGAAATGATATCGTATTTTTATGATAGGTACAGGANTTTTTTTTTATTATAGGTACAGGATACGGAATATTTATTAGATAGATACCCTAACGCCCGCATTCACAAACATTCATCTCACAGAGCGTGTGGACGCACAGGGTGACACACGAACCAATCACAGAGCTCTATTCAACGCTGTGTGTTCTATTTGCTGCTTCACTTAAGCAAGCATCGTTTGTGAATACGGGCGCGTTAGTCTTAGGCAAAAGCCACTTGAATATGTATTAAGATTAGGTATTAAACATAATGTTTACATACTCGTAGAAGAAAATATTTCGTTACATTGTATTGTATAATACTATGGACTTCAGGTGAATATAAGTAGGTTTAGATAGTCTACTATAGTTTGGATGGCAACTCAGCATGGTGTCGGGATTTTTTCATAAGGGATAGTTTTGTTATACTACAAATAAAAAAAACATGTTTTTAGAGTTCTTTCCATTTTTGACGACTTTCAGAATATTCTAAAACTGTTTCAAATTAGTGGTTTTAGTATTCAATAATCGATCATATCATATGTTTAGATATAACTTCGTTTACTTGTACGATACGATACGAGTATACACAGTCACGTGCGTAAGTCATAAAGAGCATGGATATAATTAATTAGCGTTGCAACCGATCGGTACGGTTAATTAAATGACATTTTGTGACTAATTGCGATGGTGATTGTTTTCAATTAACATTAGGAAAGAAAAACCTAAAAATCTTTGGTTTAAAACAATCCTAGACTGCAACTCACTTAACACCAGGTGAGATTGCGATTGCGGTTAAATACCTGCCTTGTTATGCATAAAAAAGTTTCTCAAATTCTTTGGGAAATTGTATCAAAACTGCAACAGCGACAACAATACCAAATATCATTATGGCGATTATACTGCTACCAAAACGTGGACCTCATTCGTATTAATAAGGTCGAAAACGAATGAAAATTTTCAACATCCCTACTGTGACTTACTAATATTTTATTAACCCGTTTAAATCAATATATTTTTTCCCAAGATCCTTATATTTACTAACTCCATATTTTTTTATCAGGAAATTCGAGTTTGTGGAACGAGTGCCGAGGCGTAGAGTGCTACGGCCTTTCAATGTCTACGACTACAATTCCTTTGGTTCGGTTAGTATGAATTACCCTTTATTGACAAATACATAATAACAGTAACCTTATAATTTGATCCTCTTAATATCCTTGTAAATATTACTCTTAAAATATGAGTTTACTTGCTCTAGTTTTTAAAATTATAACTCAATCAATTTACCTTTCGATACCCAGATTCAAGAATACCTAGACACCGTGGCTACGAGGCATCCAGACCTGGTCACCCTCCAAAACTTAGGCAGCAGCTACCAGGGTCGCCGGATGAAGCTGGTCAAAATCTCCGCTGATCCTAACGCCGGCAACCCTATCATTTTCATTGATGCAGGTAATTATGATGTTTACATACCTACTGTATTAATATTTAACTATAATGAATCATACGTCATTTCCACGATAGATTCCCAAAAATGGGGTGTAAAAGAACCATTAGAGTGGTGGTCTAGTGGTAGTTATAAAATTATTATCACTATCTCTAATTTATTTTAAATATGTATATGTGACTCTGTCTAATTGCATTTTCACACCTGGCTTAAACTGCTAAATAAAATATTTGTTGTAAGATAGGTTTGACCTTGGAAAAGAAGAGCCAGAAGAATCTCCTGAAATTCTAAATTAATCATTAAAAAAATATCACTTGGTGCTATGTTTTATTGGTTTTATTTAAAGCAGAATTGTAACGTGAGTGATTATAAAAATAATACCTAAATAATATCTAATCTAATCTAATAATATCTAAAATAATATCTCTTAAAATTAAAACTTTTTCACCAGGTATCCATGCTAGAGAATGGGTGGCCCCTGCAATGGCTTTGTACCTCATTCACCGTTTGACCAACGACCCCGATGCTAGACGCAACGAACTCAACGGTGTCGACTGGTACATCCTCCCAGTGGTCAACCCCGATGGATATGAATACACCCGATCTAGTAAAGCTGTAAGTACCTTTTTTAAAACCTATCTCAAACGTTAAAAACATTAATGTCATAAGTAAATTATTCTTGAGAAATGACTGCAATTAAAAAAAAATAGGGACACAAAACTGCAACAAAGATGATTTTCAGAATCGACTCTGGAGGAAAACAAGATCAAAGAGTGTGAGCAACTGCTATGGTGTCGATGGAAATAGGAACTACGGTTTCAAGTGGGCTGTCAGTGGAGTGTCAAGTAACCCATGCGATAAAGAGACTTACGCAGGTCCCAAGCCATTCTCAGAACCAGAAACGCTGATGGTCAGGAATGTGATGATGGAAAACGCGAAACGCCTGAAGCTGTACGTATCTGTTCACTCATACGGGCAGTACCTGGTGTACCCGTGGGGATTTACTGGAGATTTCTTGCCCAAGACCTGGAAAAAGTTGGATAGCTTAGCTAGATCAGTATCAGATGCAGTTCAGCGAGCAGGAGGGAAACCATTCAAGGTCATGAGTGCTGGAAAGTGGTACCCTGCTGCTGGTGGCAGCGACGATTACGCCTTTGGAGCTGTCGGTGTTCCTTACTCATACACGATGGAGCTCACAAACGGATATGAATTCATTTTTCCCAAAGATCTTCTACGCACAGTCTTACCACAATTCTACGAGGGATTCAAAGTTTTTGGAGCCCAAATCAGAAAGGAATTCAGGCCACTCGAATATAAAGCAAAGACTTACACTAGTAGTTCAGCAGAAAATTCTTCTGAAGAAGACTGACTAAAACTAAGACTTCAGTGAGTTTTGACAAACTTAGTAATAATGTAATTTAAAATAAACTTTTCTTAACTCTACAAGTGCATTTTCAGTCAGCATATCGCTGATTTTATGACTTACAATACAATAACCTATAAAACATAGCGTACACTTTTCGATAATTGTATGCAATAGGCTCGACCTAAATGTAGCTGAAATTGAATTTATATTTAATAATGATGGATTTATATTTATTAAAAACATTCATATTAGTTTCAGTATTTCATGGTATGTCAAGGTTAATACATAAAACATCAATATAAATTATTTTCCATTATGTCGTTACTTTATACGTTTCGCTTAATTTAAAATTCCAGTGTTTATCAACCAAAGTAATGCATCAAATTGTGGGTAAGTTCATTTGGTAAAAAATATGACATGTACCTAACCATCAATGTACCTACAGTTATTGAAGAAAAACATGTTCTTGTAGATGCAAAGTCCTAAGGCCTTGCTACAAAGAAATGGTAGAAACATTGAGGGATGGTGATGAAGCTGCTTGTATAGAAGATGCATCCATCGGAGCTAGTACTGTACGTGCCTAAAATTAGGACTTCTCTAGTTTAATTTTAAAGTTGACAAAAGTAACGTAATTCTAAATATTCTTTAGGTAACAATATTTTTGAAAGCAATCAAACAATTTTGTGGGAATTTAACTCAAGTTTTCAATGACAAAGTAACGTATGAAGGACGACATCTGTATGAAGTAAGTGTTTTGTTCATTACTATGATCATTGTTTTTTTTGGTCTGTCTAACGTTTAATTGTTTCTAAAGACAATTTTAGAGTATATTCCGAAGCAAAATATCCTAAACATTCGTAGGTGCATATAAGTGAACCTAGTGAAGAATACAAGGAAGAAGAGAAGCCAATAATCTTGATAGAGGCAGGTCAAGAGGCAGGCACAGAGCCGATCTCACTCGCCCTATATTTGATAGAACAGCTGGTGTCATGCCAGGAGAACCATGAAATGATCCAGAAGGCCCGATGGGTGATACTCCCGTGCACAAACCCAGATGGCCAGGAGTATTCCAGATTTGTAAGTTTTTATGTTGATGAATCTATGTGACCTTTATTGCAACTTGACCTAGATATCAAATCGATTTACTCATTATTTTATAAAAAAAATAGTTTCATTAATGTGGAAACCTTACAGTCACAACAATGTACTTAATGATAATGTCAATTAGGTTAATCGGTGTGATCTAATTTAAATATGTAACTAAATTATTTAAGATCTATAATAATGCTCGTATGTTAAACACATTTTGGATTTCAATAGGTGTATTTATATCCTTTGTCCTATCCCTTGCGTATTATTGTAATAGAAATGTGTTCTGAGAATTTATGAATGAGATATTGTACAAATTAATATTAGGTTAATGGGTTATAATCTCTAGCGATTTATCGACGTTTAAAATAATATACTCTTACATGAACTATATGATTTGTCAAGCACAACGTCATTCTAATGGAAGTAGGAAGTTAAATGCATGTTACTTAAAATTTTCAGAATCGTCTCCAATGGCGGAAAAACTTAAGACCATCTGACGACAACCTTAGCTACGGAGTGGACATTAGCAGAAACTTTGAAGGAGATTGGAAGTCATGTCCAATAGTTTCAACAGGCTTCTCATCCATATACCCCGGGCCGGCGGCGGGTTCCGAAAACGAGACGGCATTTGTACAGGGCGTTCTAAGCAAATACAGAAAGGAGATAAAAGGGTACTTGTCGATTCGGAGAGACGGCCACTCGATAAGTTACTCGTACGGTTACGACGTCGCGGGACCACCGGCCACACCGCAGCTAGAAAAAGCAGCCGCTGCCATTACCGCAAGGGTCAACCAAAGAGCTGGAGGCGTTCACCTCTTCAAGAACCAAAGCATTTTCGAACTCAATGGAAAGGCTCGATGCGGTCACAGCGTAGACTACGCTCACCAGCTCTTGACAATATTGTACTCTTTCGAGATGCGGGTGTTCCTAGGATCCGACAGCCGTATAATGGCCAAATTCCAGAACCTACCCCGCGGCTATGAGGCTACATTGCGAAGCGGGTATTACAGCGGAATCAAAGAACTTTACAACATTATAACTAAGGAGAAAACTCACAGATTTTACTAGATTTTTTTCTTCAAAAGTTATTCCTCTACAATAAAACGACGCAATACAACTCAGTTATTAAAAGTACTTCTCTGAGTTTACGTAACGATTCCAAGTAACATTAACCATTAGAGAAGTTTATCTCAGGGTGGGGGTCTATCGTTTCGAGGCTCTGCCGTTTGACTCCTAACAATGTTATGCTTCAAATCGTGCATGAAAAATCTTTGCCGAAGTCAAATTATGTACTCGAGGCAGCATCTATTACGTTACAATATTTATTTAGTATATAATGGTATATCTACGTTGGAGGAGTCACTTTTCCACTTTTCGGTAGGATTCGGTCATGCGCGGAGCTGGCGGTCTACCGCGCGTGCGCTAGGGGTGGGGCCGGTGGTCGGTCGGCCCGCTATCATTCTGTAGTCAGCCGCGGCAGTGGGCTCGCGTCTTCCCGACTAGCTCTCCCGACCTCACCGGCTCAAGAACTAAACTCTAATTCTCGAACTCTGCCGCCGCTCGCGCACAAACTCGATTTTCATTTACGTTCTTTTATTTCCGTTTGAAAATATGATTTACAGTAGAACTTTATTTGGAGTGTTCTGATTTTATTCGTTGTATTTTTTGAAAAATATAAAAAAAATGATAAAAAAATATTTTGATTGTTTTCCGTAATTACTTTTGTGGTAAAAAATGCTGCTGTTTGCTGGGGGCGATCATCGATCCAAGGTACGTTCCGTAGTATTTTTTTCAGGAGTATTTTAAGTTGGGATAGCAGTACTTTGGCCAGGCTGTGCGGTGATGGGCGGAAGGCGGTGCTAGGGCAACAGGTTGCTGGGCGCTGTCTGCGATCCGCCCGCCGACCTCATTCTATTAATTGCTAATAAACCGAGCAGCTTTCGCTCTAATTACCAACCAGGGTCTTATGAAATTTAATTTTCACTTTGTTCAGCGAAAATTCAGCTTAAAACACGTAATTTATTCACCACGAAACGAGCGCGGTGTAAATTGTACGAGACGGGTATTTAAACTCGCTAAAAACTCGTAAATTCATTATTATTAACGAAATCGGGTGAAGGTAATTTTTATTGCATCACTGGCTATGAAAATAATGTTACTTTGGACAGTAAAAACCTCGAAATTGCGTTTACAATTGACCCGTAATTATAACGAAGAAGAAAATGAGTCGTAGAACTCTTATTTTCTCTCTATTTTCTAGTTAAACATTTATTTCTTATTAAAACTTGATTATCTTGTGAGCGAAATCACCAAAAACAAAAATAAGTGATTTTCTTGTAAGAAANCGTAAAAAAAGACATTTCTAACTCGACTTTGCCGGAAAAATGATTGTATCTTGTAATGGGAACCTCAGAGGTATTTATAATACTGTTGCTGTTAATAAATCACTACCAAAAGAACAAGTAATGTAGAAAACCATCAATTTATGGGAAAACTATGTTAATTACTCATATTATGTTATTATGATACCAAAATAATATAATTTCATGAAGAACTAACTAAATAAAACGATGAAGTTCAGAAAATAAACAGGAATAAATCATTTTTGCAAACAAATCAAGAATGAATAATTTTTAGTGTTAAAATCTGGTTTTAGCACGAGAAAAGTAAGCAAAAACTTTAATATTTGATCTACATTGTTAAAAAGTAAGATAATATTGTCTACTCAAATCTAAATGAAAATGCAACTGCTGAAAACTATAAAATAATGACGGTTGCTTTTTCCTAATTAAAGAATATTAGAAGAATATTGTTTTAAAGAATATTAGAAGAATGTTGTTATAATGAATAGGAAAACATTTCCAAAGTACAAAAAATTAAGTTAATAATGATAGCTTCTGGTAAAACACTATTATATTATTAGGTTTAGGAAATAAACTGAACAATTATTTTGCTGTTGTGTGATCAGTTTAATAAGTATCATAAAACATTGCACATAAAATTAGTTTCACTGGATTATTCGTAAAATGTTAGTATTTGATACGAAGATAATTAAAATATAGTTCTGATTACGAAAATATTACTTTTAAAAGTCGCAATGATCAAGTCACGTGTTGAAACACCTACGGAATATGGAAAATTATTAAAATAGGAACATGGAAAATTATGAATACGGAAAGTTATTAAATTCTTTGTACTTTTTTAAGCATTTCAAATAAATAAATTGCTACAACTCCAAGTTTGTAAAATATAGTGTATAGACAGTTACAACCGTCATCACCGCACAGAACGTCGGCCAATCAGCACAAACTTCGACGGCGCTCCGTGAAAATGAGTTTTATCTACAGGAAAATACCTTATTTTGCATAAATATGTTTCATGTTTCTAATTTTAGGAATCGACGATATTTTTCTTGTTATTTCACTTCCATGTATTATACAAGACAATGGACGGCACTAAATGGAAATAAATCCGGAGCCTTAAAGTTTTTAAACAATCTCCATAGCAAAGTCTTCTGCAAGTTTAATCACGTAAATTGAAACGTAATTATTACTAAGTAGCTTTCCACCCGCGGCTTCGCGCGTGGACTACATTATCTACATATTTTACGGAACCCTATTTTTTTCCAAAATAAAATTTTGCCTATGTTACTCGTGGATAATGTAGCTTTCGTATGGTGAAAGAAATTTTAAAAACGGTCCAGTAGTTTTTGAGCCTAATCATTACAACCAAACAAACAAAGTTTTCCTCTTTATAATATTAAAATAATGTAGATAATGCTATAATAAATTAATTAAATCACCATGAAAATAAAAATAAGTGACATATCGAAGTAATTTTACTTATATTGTCGTTTCTGGAAAACGCAATTAGGTAAAGTTTCTGAGCTCGATAAATACTCGGAAAATGTCCAGTCGCGGACTAAGTTCGGAAAATTTAATTATTCTAAAAGCCTTTCTTGTTTTGCTAGTCGTTGATTATCTTGAAGTTTAGTTTAATATTCCTCTTTCCATATTTCGTTCAAAAATACGAAATGAGAAAGATTATTCCGGACAGAATTGAATCGAAAAGAGTTGCTGTAAGATTGTCTCATTGATCAATTTCAGTTTCGAAAAATTGTTCTATAATTTTCTGTATTTAATTCTTCCATACTATTCGAAGTTTGATTTGCGACATTAGTTTGACCGTGTGTTGCATGTATGGTACATACTCGTACATACGACAAGAAAAAGATTTCGTGCTTTCGAAGACACAGGATGAGTAGTAAAAATCTATGGTTTTCAGGTTTAAATCCCAACGATATTTGACCTAGTAAGTCATAAAAAATACTGTCATACTTCTTTCGATGTAGAAGAAGAAGAAGTCTGTTATGCTGAGATGTATTCCTTTGTCCCCAAAATTTTTTCAAACTAACGGCACTGAAAAAAAACAACAAAATAAGGGGTTACGTTCCCGGACCTAGTACATCATATCGATTGACAGATACCAAGTTCGCGTATCACCCGCGGTCCAATTCCGTTAATCTGGGGGACACTCGTAATTCTCATAACTAAGTTTTCGAGTGGTGATAACGGTATCGACCGCTCGCATTATGGAGTCGGGACGCGTGTCGGTGATAACAACATGCGGGCGCCCCCATGCGGATGGTTCTTGCACTTAGTATTTTTGAATACTAATGAATAGTAAAGGTTTGAGTCAGGGTGACTGATGCGGCATTTGCGGTATTTGGATCGGACAATTAATTGATAAGCGATACGTGGTAATGATGACGAATCAAAAATGAACTCTAACTTTAGTAGACCATGTTGGTAACTACTCAGACAAGGGGTGGGCAAAGTAGAATCCGTCCATATCATTAAGTCTATGACTCTCAAAAAAAAAATACTAGGACTTGCTGTTCAACATTTTGACGTTCCCGCCTAAAACCAACCTTACATTCTTTCTGAAGACTGTTAAAGAACATTTGAGTCAGTCAGTCTTTTGAGGAAGATCATCAGATCAGACCATGAGAGGTTATCAAGTAGACTGGTAGTGATTTTAAAATACCTAACTGAAGAACATCTAAGCCATTTATTTAATACATCGTCTTTAAGCAGAACTCGCAGGGAGACCTATTGGTCTGAAAGGTTCCCAGAAGACTGGATGAGGCACCAGCCTACCTAATTCTGGAGGCTATTGAACAATTTGATCAGGGTCTTCACGTCGTGTCTGTCATATATTAAAGATAAGTCATAGGGACTAGAGGTTACCAGTAGACTAAGACAAGAAATTAACTTATCTACTTCTGAAGACTATTGCCCAATAGTCTTTTTCAGGTAGACTCATCTTGCGGAAAGGTTAAGAGTAGACTTCAGACCAAATACCAAATTACCTAATTCTGAGGACAGTTAAACAACATCTTAGCCAGACATTTTGTCATAGTGTTCAAGTGGAACTTCTTAAAAGACAGTAATAGAGTTGGCTGGTTTCCAGTAGACCGTGGACCACTCAAGTAGACCTGCTCATTAATGAGACTTGGAATATCTTATTTAGTCATCTTGAGATAACATCGTGATCAAGAGGGACTTTTTCAGGTAGACTGTTGGCGTTGAAGAAAGTTTAGTAGACTACGGATCAGAGACCAACCTATCCAGTTCTGGAGTTAACCAACCAATCTAGCTTATCATCTTGAAATTAAGCTCAAGCGAGACTTTCTGGAAGACTTTTAGCTATTCTATTCATGAATAGAAATGAAGACATACTTTAGTTGGCGCCTAACATGGTACTAATCAAGGAAAGGATAAAAATTATCCTGATACCAGAGCTACCTGAGATTTACTGCAGAATTCGGCAGTAGCCCTAAATTAACGGAACATTTATAAAATATGAGCTTAGAAAGAGCACAAATTAATACTAACCCAATGTTAAATGTTGGTAATTAATTTCCACAACTTACAATGAATGGTTAATTTCCGATCCCTTCTCCAGGTACTTCAAAGGGTTTGGTATTTTCAATATAGGGTCGCTTGATAGATATGGCCGCAGATTGATACGCAAAATATCTGATTACTAATGAACGAGCAAAGTTTTAAAACAAATTAGGTCAAAGGTAACTTTAGTTTAGATTCCTCTCACAAAGGTATTAAAATTTGTATATTTTATTCAGTGGTCCTTTTTCCTTCCTTTTTCAATGGTGGACATTAGTTAATTTTCGAGTTTGAAAGTAGATACTTAACATTTCAGTTCACACATTTTAGACATTAATAGAACTGCCAAACTTGTGTCTGGAAGGGCCATGGGAAGGACAATCCTAGACCGTTTAAAAAAGTCGAAACTCTATACGTATTTACTTGTGACCAAAATCTAGTTAGTTTGTTGTACTTAATGAGTAATATTTGAACAAGAAATGATATAAAAATAATAAATTCATAACACATAATTAGAAAATAATCAATTTCATGCGCAACGCAATATAATATTTTAATAATCTATTTATATTATTTAATTTCGATATGCGTGTGCGTATGTTATTATAAATTATTATTTAATTTCGATATGCGTGTGCGCATGTTATTATAAATTACGTTTTAAAAATATTTCACACTAGCTTTCCGCCCGCGGCTTCGCCCGCGTGGAATTTTGTCTGTCACAGAAAAACAATATCGCGCGCGTGCCTATTTGCTCACCGTTTAGACCTACCCTGGACTACGACAAACATTTTAAAACAAAAATCAGCTCAATCGGCCCAGCCGTTCTCGAGTTTTAATCAGACTAACGAACATCAATTCATTTTTATTTATATAGAAGATTTACACACTATTTAAAGTCTCACAATAGAATGTATTGATTGACGATAGATCACATCTCTCAAAAAGATAAACTGCAAAACTGAATGAGCTAAAATATCAATCCCACATAACAATGCTCAACGAGACACAGCAATAGTAGTTTTTCTTCACATTACTTAGTCAGATTTATAGCCACTTTTAACAATAAAATTAAAATCATAAATAAGTACTTAATTAAATTTTAAAGCTTTATAAGAAATTTCTAAAAATCACATAGGTACTAAACACATTACTCCTCAAATATATAATCGACCCTACATCAATAACGCAAACCTACAACAGACTTAATATGAAAACAGTTCAAAAGCCAGACAAACACGGAGTTCATTTAAAATGAAGTTAGAGAGGATATTGGATTTCTAACTCCTCACCTACGAATTCCATACGGCCAATTTAGTATAAAGCTGGTCCGCGGCGAACCGTGCGGGGGTATTAAAATTTGAAGCGTTCAACTTGCCTCCTTTTAGTGTTCATTATGGTGGAAAGTTGGCGAAAATTCATACAAGTCCAAGTTCTAATGAACACGTAAAGTTGGCCGGTGTAGCGAGTAGCGATCGCTTACGGGCGCGCGCGTCTTTTTGCGCCCGCTTTGTTTTCTGTGGAGCGGTTAAGAATTTTAAAATTTACGCTTTTGGCGTTTTGACGCAGTTGCTGTTTTGGATAAGCACGTCTACTAACTTCATAACAGTTAAAAAGATAGTTCAGATTTAACAATTACTAAGAAAATAAGTTAGAATATAGAACTTGGTTTCTTTTATGAATCCAATCAATTACACTTAATCCTGATAGGATTAAGTTT